GAAACCAGATATTTCCTGCTTGTATAGCTTAATTTTGTTCCAACTTCCCAATAACCTTTAAAGCCTCATCTTCTCCCTCTTTCATCCATCTTTATTTTACTATTTTTTCATATTTATGGTTATGCAAATAAATGACTGGATGTTCTCTCCACAGACCCACGGCTCAGAGCTTGTTACTCCACAGAGGATTTCAAACAGATGTTTCCAGTGAGTGAGACACACCGTCCATGCAGTAGGAACTTACTTACTAATCGGTGCCATCACTCACTCTGTGTGTCTGTGTTTAAAGAATGCAGCTGGAAGCAGAAGGCTCATACGAGTGTTCGGTCACTGGTCTGGTTTTTGAAGCAAGCGAGCCGGTTCTGGTGCGGTATTCGGTCCTATCCTGGTCCAAGTTTGGCTCGTTCTTATCAAACTCCTGGAAATTTGCTGGACCAATCTTCGACATTGACACCGTCAACAAGGAGGCGTCTGTGCTCACATCCATCCACCTCCCCCACTCTGTTTGCTTAGCCCGTAAGAGCAACAGCGACCGTTTGTAGCCTGTGATTAATAAGAGTCGCCATAAAACTTTGCTTCATGTCTGATATTTTCTAGAGTCTCCTGACAACAGTGTGCTATTCAGGATCTTGCATGTTGTTGATGAGGCTTTCATCGAACCACCCTCAGACTACTCAGGTAGCCACGTTAAGTGGAGCGTGAGGTCCCTGTCCCCTGTGTGTCCCATCATTCCAGCAGATGAACAGGCTGAGTACCATGGCGCGGTTCTGATCTACAAACGGATCAACACCAACAACCACATCTTCCATGTCTACCTGGCCCTGAATAATATTTCTGCCATTAAAGTAGGTACCATTTACCTTGGTAGCGCTATGGACACTAAGTGATTTCTTTTAAGTTTTAACTGACATTGGTTTCATGATTTGTGATGCCTGCTGACAGAGGGGAAAACTTGCTTTTTTTTTTTTAAGTGAGACACACTTTAGACCAGTGGTGTCCAAAGTCGGTCCTAGAGGGACGGCATCCTGCATGTTTTATTTCTCTCCCTAGTGGTAGTAAACTCCCCAGCAAGTCAATGTTCTCCTTAGGCCTTCTAATGAGCCACCATTTTTTTAATGTAGGTGTGCTAAACCAGGAAGAGACCTAAAACATGCAGGAAGCTGGCCCTCGAGGACCAACTTTGGACACCCCTGCTTTAGACTACCCAGATAGCCCAATGAGTAAAACAGCATCGAAACAATGTCAGGCAGAAACATTGAATCTACGTTGAAGCCTGGCATTGAAACAGAATTGAAAGTGATCAAAGACTTATATGTTGAATCAACGTTAGGGTTTCGACCATAACTGACACTATATCAATGTTGATTCAACCATCAACTGATTGTGGATCTACATGCACATTCAGGTGGATTTTATATTGAATCAGTTAGGAATCAACTTTGATTCAACCATCATCCAAATGTGGATCTGCATGCACATTTGGGTTGATTTTATATTGAATGAAAGGTAAGGAATCAATGTTGATTCATGTATATTTTTTGGTCTGATAGGTCTACATCATAACATACCACTAAAAGTTTCTTCACTGATGTTAAACACAATTTTATTGGCAGATGATGGGTATCATGGGTATGTCGTTCAAAATTCTTACATTAACACATTTCCAAAAATGTGTGTACAAAAGGTTAAAATGACAACATAGCATTAATATAACATTTTATTTAAGAAAACAGGGATGGATCTGTAAACATATTTGACTAATTTTTGATCGTCAGAACAACATTCTATTGTCTGGAAGAACAACGTCCATGAGGTTAAGCTTTGTACTGTATGAACAGGGAAACAGTACAAGTTGGGGTAACAAGTTTGACTGGTTGGCGTCACTTTGGTTCCTTGTGATGCCTTCCTCCCATTCTGGCACGTAATGAAGCCACTTTAACAATTTCACTGTAGTCCTCAAGAGTCAGCTTTGGGTCAACCTGCAGAGCAGCAGCTGAAAAACACAAAAATAAGAGTGAAGAAGGTGCCGGTTAGAAAGATGATAAACACTTCAAAAGTTTTGAACGACATTGAAATATTAAATAGTGTACTGGTTTTAGGTCTGAGAACAAACAAAGTGTACGGTTCCTCATGTTCACTCACTGTTAAATTAATAAGGACACGCTAATGAATATTCATTAATATTCATCTTAATGTTTGTTGACATATACAATTACATTTACCTATCAAGATGCAGCACAGTGTAGCATTTATGATGCTGCACTCATGTTAACCCTTGTGCGTGCGAGGTCTGAGGCAAACGTAGAGGACTGTGGCAAATGATA